TAATCTGTAAATATTCGTGTGTTTATGAATAATATTTTCATGATTACCACTGAAACACTGTTTTTACAGTCGATTTTTTCGTGTCCTATTACCACTTCACTGACTGTTCACTGATTAACTGGCAAATTACTTAATCAATCAATTGGAAATAGTGTACCCTAACGTTTCCAATTACATTGATGTATGTGAAACAATTAACATCATTCATTTCATTATTACTTGAGAAACTGAAAACAAAATAAGCAAACATAGAATACGCTAATCGGGGGGACTACGAGTAAAAAAATAATTTATTGTGGGGGACAAAAGCACCAAGGGACCACTAGATTTTCCCCTGGTTTTCGCTAGTCATAATAAAGAAATTAAAAATCTTTCATTTCAAATACAAGTTCCACATTTTCGAATTGTCACTAATGGGTAATTGTTAAGTAATTACCGTGTCATAAGATGAAGTGACCGTATCTAATTAACCCTCGTGAGTGATATGATCTCTTTACAACTTGAACCAATTGGTTATTGAGGCGACTTTTGTCAACCTTTTTGTTATTTTTATGACTTGTATTGATAGACTTCTAGCTCATAGGTAGGTAGGTACACTTATGTATTTTTTATGGGTTTATATTAAACTTGGATACTGATACTTAAGCATACTTTTAAGTTTATCAAGGTAAAGGTAAAACCAAGTAACATTTAGATAAGTTTCTATTTTTTATTTTTAACTTCGATTTCTTTACAATATGTGAGCTTTTTTACATTATGTATTTTCCCTTGCGACGTCGGAATAAATTAATTAGGTACCTATTGCCTGATTTTATTTTTAGCAGGAAAACAAAGCAGGAACATATTATTTATCAAGAATGTACTTTGGGCATGTAAGCGCCATCTGGAGTAACTAAGTGGATACGCAAAAGCTCCCAAGCTCTGCAAAGTTCTAAAGCGTCGCTTCTTGGTTTAACTATTTGTAGAGACAAAACAGAGATGGCGCTCTGCAAAATTATTATTTTTTTCAGTCGCAAAGCAAAGGCTATAGCAATCCTTCAAGTACAATCGCCAGCACTTCATCATTTTAGCCATAGTAACATTGATTTCCTTATTATAATAACATTATTTTGATAAGTAGCGGAAAACCATAAAATGATTTAAATAATGGGTATTTTTGATGACCATTGTTTAATGTAACCCACTTTTTATTTATTTATTTATTAATATTTAGGTACCCTAATTAAATTTTTAAGCTAAATTAATTTATTATTCTCTCTACAAAATATGACTGTCTTTCAAGTTTCAACTTCAATTGCAAAGTGAAGTTTGTTTTCAAATCTTGCTAATGTTTATATAATCTACGAGAGCGAGAATAGTCGAGTCCTACAATGCATGGACTAGAATAAAAAAACTTTTTTTTATATCTTTGAAGGTGTTCCTAATCAAAGTAATTTCATTTGTGTGTGTGTTATCAGTGGTTGAAATTTCGTCGCACTCGATACTGAATAGAGTGAATACTGACTGATTGGTAATCAAAATGTCACGGTCAAGGCCCGTTTATTATCGCACGGTTGCTTACATAAAAATAATGAAAGAAACAAGCTCATTATCATGTTTATTGGTTAGAACTGTACCTACGTAGTTACGAGATCAAAAGAGGTCGCCATAAGCCTAGGCGCAAACCACCAACTTTTAGTTGGCCGATAGTTGGGCCCGATTTGAATTTGTATGAAGAATCGGCCGATACCAAATCGGTGTAATGTACGCACTTTCATACAATGTCCTTAACTGATTAACAGCCCGACCTAACTATCGGCCAACTAAAAATCAGTGGTCTGAGCCTAGGCTAATGCACTCCAAAATTGGCTAGGTTTCGAAGTCGATGCGACTAGTTAGTTTTCAATTGCCTTTCACTAACGATTATAAGCCAACGTCCTCGCGATTGGGAAACATATTGTACACAATGACTGTGACAGACATTGCGCAACTTCTTTCCAAGGAATTTTCTAAAATATGTTGGATTTATAACATAAAAAGCTGTCTTTATAAATCCGTAACTAAACTGTTTGTAAAAGTGCAAGCGATGCATGTAAAAGCAAAGCGTGAAATGATCGAGTAGAACGTAAGACTGCATCGTGCTTTCCATCAAAGCTATGTGAGGACAAGGACAATGGAAATAATAAAAGGTTCATCCTTTTTTCTTCAGGAGTTGCTGCTAAACGCTTTTTATAGAACACGACATTCGACAGTCAGACACACATCGAAATGCAGATTATTTGATCAAATGTAAATTATGTAGGTAGGTAGGTACCTACGTCTTATCTTAATGTAATATTCTGTGACGTAAGTTAATTTCAAACGGAAAATCCATTTCAAATCTTATCGAAAACTTACGGTACAGATTAAATCAATTTCATTCATCAAAACGTGAAGTGCCATAATGCTCTGCTATTTTTTTTTTAGAATTGATTATTTTTGTGCCATATTATGCACAGGTCAGTTTCAATCAGGGTTCGAAAATATCCGATATTTATTATAAATATCAAAATATCGGATATTTATGATATATATCCGATATATATCAACTTTGATATATATCAATTTTGTATGAAAGCCATACTATTATTTTATTGTATTATTCATGAATACTATTGCATAAGTGTTACATAAACATGTTTTTAAAACTTAAAATCAGACAAATAAAGCAAAAACATAAAATTTCTTTTAAATACGGCAAAATCAACTAAAAAAATAAAAATCTTATGTCAAAAGTACAAATACAGTAACAAATTTTAAAAGTTGATATACCTATATCATAAAAACCGGCTTGATATATATCCCTTGATATATATCCTCGAACCCTGGTTTCAATCATACATAGGTTTTTTTTAAAACTCTTAAAATTCAATTAACACACTAACAATAAGTTACCCATCACTAAGTAGGGAAGCCAATGTATTTAAAACAGCAATCCTCCAGGACTATCTGAAGGGTTGTCTGGAGGAGATCGTTTTATAGTGATAAGACCGCCTAAATTGTGCCTTACTTCGTAACCATTTCATATCATCTTAATTCCTACGTAGTATTTATCACGTAAAAAATCGATTAGTGACATAATAAATTATCGATAAATGTTCGAATTTCTCGTCACGCCTCCATTAATGCCTTGATAATAAGAAAATACAATCGTTATCTAGCAAAACAAAACAAACGGTAGCTCTGAAACTATCGAATGAACAAGCAGTAGTGATAATAAAGTCACATGGCAATCAGCAATCAAACGGTGTACCCATACGACTAGTAATAAAATACAGTCGCAGCATAGCATCTGGTTTCATTATGAAACGTCAACGAGTAATCGACCCGCGTCGAGTAACGTCAACAAAATAGGTTAGCGTGTGAACTGTGTGCAGGAAGGCGCGCAGGGCGCTGGTATCTCCTGCCTCCGCGCGAGAGATAGCCTCTTCCTGAGCCACTACCTACTAAACAAAACATAATCTACTCTATTATTTTAACATTCCAAAATTTTACTATTGAATTTGTTGTATCCACAATGGTAAGTTGTCATCCGGGACTACTAAGCCTTCACTAGAAGCCAAACTGTAGATCCTGGCTATACAAAAACATTACTCAAACTCCAGCATTAGACCTCGAATTTTAATATTTTGATGACTGCAGATTTGAATCGATTCTTAGGTGTCATTTCATAGTTTATAGGCTTAAGATTATGAGTCAAATAGATTACAGTTAGAGTCTAGAGAGAATATGGCAGGCAATATACCATATATTGCAGAATAGAACCCTAGTTACATTTGTGGTACAATGAGATTATTTGACACAAATAAAATGTTGTTGTTATCAAAACTTAAATCTCCAATCACTTAGAGTTACTTTTAATCATAGTTTATACGTTTATTCATAGTTTTTTTATGTCAAAATATTTAAGTTTGGATATGAATTAAACTTCGAACAAAAAAAAACATCTTTGATTAAAGTTTCATGCATCTTCGTCTTAAAGCTAATTTTAATTATTTATCTTCAAAACTATTAAAAAATAATTGAATAAACAAATAAATGAGTTAATTTCATACACCATTTCAGGGTTTTATTTGGTTTTAATATGGATACCCTTCAATATTATAGCACAATATCATAGTTTGCTCTTATGTTCAGCAGTTTGTAAGGTCCTATATTAAACGGACCAAACGGACAAAAGTAAAAAAAGTAATGGTACGCAAAATAGAAACAAGTACAGATTTTAAGATGTTTTATTTATTAGGCAAGTTAATTACCATACATTAGTATGTTAACAGTTACAATGCCTTTAATTACAAACAGGTAGTTATCGGTGATAAGCTACTTTTATGGTCCGTGTTAAAAATAATGGTTATCGGCAAAGAACAATTTCTTTATGGTTGTTAGCAATCAATATATGATTTGAAGTCGTTCAACTTTTATTGCTTTTTTTATTACTATTTTAAAATTATTGGAATAAATATTCCTACAATTTTGTACTTAAATAATATGCCACTGAAATACATGTCTGAATTAAAAACTTATAGAGGTAGAAAGTTTATAATAAAAGTTTAGTTTTTCTTCAATTAATTTTGTGCTCACCAGTGAATACAGGAACTATTTTTAAGTAAGTAACTAATTACAGTACATTTTGTTTTGGCATGTAATAATTGGTATCAGTTCAGGATGCTGATGGAATCCGATAAGGTAGGGAATAAGTAGTTCGGATGTAGGACGTTTTCTAGGTTTCAATCTCATTATTCAGGATTCACAGGAAACGGTGCAAGTAGGCGATCATTTTGGATAACCAAAAACTCAATTTTGGAGTCAATTAGGTATATCTTGGTATTAGGATATGATGAAGGAACCTGAAACAGAGGATGGATACAAAGTATTTCCAGGTAAGGTTTAGGTTAAGATGGACGTAGGATTTTGTTAAATTAAGTACCCAATTCAAGGCGGAAGAGACAAGTAGGAACTCAATTTTAAAACAATGTACTTACCACAGAAGTGAAGCAGACGTATCCTCGTTTAGCCAATTCAAAGTGGCAGTAAATAACGCACAAAGCACCCACACAAATCCACTGATTGTCTGGACTCGTAATAACAAAATTACTAATATTATTTATCAAAACAAGATCCCACTGTCACTAAGTCGGGTTACGATTCATACACTGTTATTTAATTTCAACATTTATCTCTTTTTATCATCACTAACTTCCGTCACTGAAGCTGCTGGTTTAATTGAACTTTAATCAATCCGTCATACGAGTCCTTTTAATTTAAATTTTCGTTTTTTTACCGATTCTATCAAAACAACAATGACGTTTGACAGAAACAGGTTAACCTCACGCTCACTCGCATCAAAAAATCCTTCACGATTTAGAAGAGAAAGCTTTGATTTATATAAAAATATATCTGTAACACTTTGTGTTTCACACTTTATTTAAAATAATTTAAACTTGCTTAAAATCACGATATATTGGAGTTATCCAACACAAATTATGCGCACGCAAAAGACTTTTCCCGGGAGAAGAATCGGGTATGAGCAAGCGAGATGGCGAGACAACCGTACCAAGCGGCGACGACGACGGGTTGACTGCTCGCAAAAAAAGGCGACAGAGACAGACAAAACGAATGAACGAATGAACTGATTGTTGAAGGCGCGGTCAGTACTTTTGATGATGATGTTATTGTTTGAGTTGTTTGGTCAGTAAGTTAAACATTATTAAAAAGGTACGGCTACTTATTGTAGGTATGTTTAATAAGTAAGTTATTTACCTATAATATTCTTTATTAACCCTCCCAACGCTACAAACAACTCAACAGCTGATGAATTTTGAATGTAAAAAGTTAACAGTGCGAACTCATTCGATTTTCTGTAAATAATAAACTGTCTGCAAAAGTCGGGATCCAGAATTTTTGGGTTCATTAATGAAGAAATTATTTTAAAATTAGGTCACACTTGTTTCAATTTCCCTCGTGGACTATCTGCATATTAATTACCTATTCATTCAAGAAACAATTTTCACCCCAATGAACTCCTTGCTAGTCACAATCGCCTCCTGGGGGGTCGATATATTCTCAGATACTTAGATCACTTTAGGTCATTGCAATCAAGAAGCACGTCACTTGCTCGTGAACACCACGAGTGTGTAAAATATTTATGGTTGCAGGGAGTCATTGAATGCAGAGCCATCGACCGTTGTGTGTGACCTTTCTGCCGAATAAATGAGTTATCACCTAATAATGCAGCAACTTTGGCAACGCCTAGCGGGAGCACTTTTTAGGCCATTCAGAAATAGACCGGTGTCGTAACTACGCGTGGAGTTCAGTTTGAATTAGAACCAAGTCAAGTGCCATGTATCGTGGTGATATTATGTAAACTATAGGTACCTACATACTTTCTTGGTACCTATTTATCTACTCTGTTAGTTCTATAAAACGTAGTAGGTAGTACCTACTTAGTAGCGAGTAAATGTTTAGCCTAACAAGCCTTATAACGCATTAGGCATAATTCTTTATAAGGCAGAGGAAATATTGCTCCTCCAATATTTTTACCTATACATTGTCTTTTAACGTCCAAAAAAATGAAAAAATCTCAACTTGCTATGATCGTTTTAAGCGAAATGTTAGATTATATTTTTATTAGTTTTGTAATTAAATTCTGGTTTTCCTTTATCAAGACTAGGTACCACGCTCTACGAAGCGTGAAAATGACGTTTGGATTTACTTATTTAAAATTACTTATAAGAGAAAAATAACGGTAGATAAAAGGGTTAAGTAACTTAGTAGGATAAAATAGGTTTCCAAAGAAAGCCAGTAGCAGTTATAATTTCTCTTCAGATAATTTACGACTAAGTATTTTCAGCTTTGTTAAATCGTGTTTGAATCGATATATAAGCGAGAAATCCAAGATAGTTTAAGGTCGGTAACCAATTAACGTTAAACCCATAATTAAAACTGTTGTAAAAAACGCAGACCCTACTATGTAGGTAGGCATGGTAATTGAACTTTCACCTGCGTTATGGGACTGTTGCATTGCGGAATTCACGTGTAATGTATACCTAGGTACTATAGGTCTTTCTTTTGTTTGATAATCTGATTTTACTTCTGTTTGCTGTTTTGTGTCATGTGTCCTACTAACAGGATCCAATTTTTTTTTCTCATTGCGAAATTCTGTTATTAACAACAGTTTACAGTACCTTTTTAGTTTTTATTACGGTTTTCGAAAAAGAGGAAAGTGTATTGCCAATTGCCGGCAACTGTTACATTTATTTGTATTAAATATTTTGTTAATTACTGGCAAAACTGGTAATGTAAATATGAAATTGATCTTACCTACTACGAAGAAAAAAATCTCTGAGCAGCGCTGAATGGTAAAATGTCGGGCAATGTTCATATTGAAACAATTTTCTTCGTTTTCAAAAACTAAGTCTTCGAAAATATGTCTTGAAATCAGTCCAAGAGAAAGAAGAAAATCGAAATAAAAGATTAAGAAATGTGCAATAACGTTTAATTATATCAGTATAAAATATTTATATTTAGATAGCTAATATCACACAATCTTTTTTAGAATATAAAATAATGAAGATATGTCGAAATGGCACTAATACATAATGTATTTAGGTATATTTATACCTATTTTTCTGTTATTCATTGAACAAAAAAATTAATCAATGTTAATGTTTGAGGCTCATTTTATTCATAACAACATTTTACTGTAAGTAATAAATGCAGAGTTCTAATATTCAAATTCTATAAACTTAATCTGCAGATGTCACTAGTTGTCTGGTATCACTTCCATGGGCTTAACTTTCAGTCTTTCCGCCAGGGCGGCGCTAGAGTCAATCTGTTGCTGGACATACGATACTGTGCCGCGCGCATCAGTTTCTTTTGCCGACTTCTTCTCCTTGTCTCCAGGCGCTAAAACTGGTAGGTTAGGATCCGTCTGGAAAAATAGAAAATACCTTTAAAAAACCAATGGAGGTAACAATTTTTTAGTCATACACTCTACATTACGGTTAATCTTTGTTGTTCTTCTATGATGATGATCTATCTCTATATTAAAATATTGAAAATGAATATTATTAATTTGCTCACATATCTTAATTACTTAATGCTAGTTATTATATTATAGAGACATCTAATAAATAAAGATCTTCATATTTTACTTCGCTAAACTAAATAAGAAACATAATAGGTTTTCTCAATAATTAAATTATTACCAAATACCAATTAACTATAAGGTTTATAAATATTTCAAAAAAATAATTAGTTAATTCAATTATTTTAGTTCCAAAAACCATCACGCGAAAGCTATAGGGTTAAAAATTGAATGAATGAATGAACGGTAACGGTACCACAAAGGCATAAACGGTACAGTTTTGTTTGTTTCTGACACAGGGATTATTAGAGGTTTCTGTCCATATCTGTGGGTTTCTGACTTTGTTATCACCATTCAGCTTTCACCAAAATCACAACCAAAATAGCCCTAGAAAACACCAAACTATTGACACTAGGTAAGTACTTTTAAAAATTGCATGTGCAAGCTTTAAAATAAACTGTCAAGCCAAAATACTGCTTATCATGCTTAAAGTGAGGTTTGTGTGTAGAATTCCAGTTCGTACCGGTTCTAGTTGCCTCCAGTGTTGTATGGCCTCAGTAAGGCGATCTCCAAAGCCGGGGGCGAAGCACTCAGGGTCGACAGCCACGAAGCAGTGTCCCAGGTTGGCAGCGCCGCCTGTTCCGGCGTGGGACCACGAGCGCACGTGGTGCCCGAAGTTTGAACCTGACAAGAAATTGATAATATTCTATAGGTCGAGATACAGAGCACGTGGTCGAGACGAAATAGAGATGACTTCACCTAATATGGCAGTGGATAGTGATTCAATCTTGATTTTTGTTTTTAATGTCACATTAATTGTATCCTATCTACCTACCTACTAGCTAGACGAACTTAATGCCATAAAGTATTCTCAGCCGTTTACCCTTGAGCTAAGCAGAAAAAAATAGTTACAAAATCGCACGTGTTAAATTAAGTTAGCTATGTTACAAAAGCACAACGTTAAGGTAAGTAGGTAGGTAGGTACCTACTTATGAAAGTAGGTAGGTAGGTAGTTCTCATTCGTTTAGTCAAAGTTCTCATTCATTAAAGTATTTTGTACCATTCAATGTTTTTGCTGTTACTTCATTTTGCATATTATGAGACATCTTTATAAATGCAGTCTCTACTCTAATCTGCCTGGCTGTCATGCATGAAGCGCCATCTTTCTGTAGACTGTGGAACTATTCTCGGGTATTCATAATATTCTTACCAGCAGAAATTCCGCAGAACAATTCCACCATAGCTGCCAGTCCGAATCCTTTGTATCCTGAGGTCTGCTCTCCTCCACCCAATGGCATCAAACATGCTGTGTTGTAGCCCTGTAAAATAATACCTAAATCATTTTTCCAGAAAATAAATATTTTTGGCATCCTCGAGTGTTTAATGGCTAACTGCCAGAGCTATTAATAAAGTCAGTAAAACCGATAATCCATTCTAAGCGGTAATTCCAGACGTATCTAAAATATATCGTGAACTGCGTGCATGCATAGACCAGTGTAGGTACTCGTATAGTAGCTTTTACGTGCACTTTTATATTTATTGTGGGAAGAATTGGAGGTAGTTACTAACCAGTTCAGCATCTGTCGTCTCCTTGCCATCAGGTCCTTGTGCCCACCCTCTTGGTATGGGTTCTCCTTTTCTTCGCTGCATTTCGATCTGTAAAAGTATTTATTTACTAGCGGCCGCCCGCGACTTCGTACGCGTGGATCCCGTTTTACCCCCTTCATCTATCTTACGCGGTTTAGATTTTTTCATACAAATGTTTTTTTCCGCTAACTCCCGTTCCCGTGGGAATTTCGCAATATCCTGTTGTAACTAAGCTTCAAGTTTACTAAGGTACCTGCATGCCAAATTTCAAGCGTCTAACTTAAGCGGTTTAGATTTTTCATACAAATGTTTTTTCCCACTAACTCCCGTTCCCGTGGGAATTTTGCAATATCCTGTTGTAACTAAGCTTTAAGTTTACTAAGGTACCTGCATGCCGAATTTCAAGCGTCTAACTTAAGCGGTTCAGATTTTTCATACAAAACGATTTTCCCGCTAATTCCCATTCCCGTGGGAATTCCTAAGTATCCTATAACCTGCCCAGGAGTATGAAGAATAATTGTACCAAGTTTCGTTAAAATCCGTCGAGTAGTTTTTGTTTCTATAAGGAACATACAGACAGACAGACAGACAGACAGACAGACAGACAGACAGACAAAAATTTTACTGATTGCATTTTTGGCATCAGTATCGATCACTAATCACCCCCTGATAGTTATTTTGAAAATATATTTAATGTACAGAATTGACCTCTCTACAGATTTATTATAAGTATAGATTAGTCTGAATATAATAAAAATGTAAGGCTTCATTTCTTATCATTTACTTAGGAAAGGGCTAGAAATAAACCCCATCTTGAGGGGCTTGTAGGCCCGTCGCGCCGTGTAGGCGGGCAATCGCCGGGAGGGGTTTTGGTAGTGAAGGCTTTGCCCGGAATTCCACAGTTCCTTTCCACTTAAGGCGATTGTCGGAGACCACGGTCTCATAAGTATGCCCTGTCCTTCTGACTTTGTGAGCTCCACATAACCTACCCTGTCCTCGCAGGGTAGGTAGGTATATATAATTTGATACATTATCCCCGAAAAAAAATCTCTAGAATAAACTTGCCTTGCCAACTGCGACGGCTGTTGTAGCCATGTCCAAGTAGAATGATTCGCCCTGCGACGCTGGCGCCACCACGGACATAGGATTTGTCCCGAGAGCAGACTGGAAGGTAAAGAAACAAACATTACCATACAATAATTAAATAAATTAGGTAGGATAAAACTTATAAACTCTTGGAAATTTTCGTATTTCGTCACTGATATTAGTAGCTTTTGTTTTTAGAGTTTTATCAGCATTCAGCACTTGAAATACGAAATCAGTGATTGATAAGTAAGTAGGTACTACCTATATCATCCATTATTTACAGGTATGAATAGCCCTATCTATCCTGCCATTAGTGTACCTACGCAATATACTCAAAATCCATGATATTGTGCGTACACAGCCTAACTAAACAGTGAGAATAACTAGCTACCCTACCTATAGCCGTGTCTTCTCTACATGATGCGTTTAATTCATTTTGACGTGAACATTTCCACTTATTTACTTTAGTCGATGTACACAGTGTTGTGTGACGTTTACCTGTTTACTCCTCGTAGGAGCCAAGAGAGGCGATGTGTTCGTGAACGCCATGCCTATCAGCCCCTTGTCTGCTGCCTTCTGCGCCCACCAGCCTGCCATGCCGTTGTGGTTTGACCCTGAAATATCCATCAAATTGTACAGTCTCTATCCAAGAACCAATAACCAGATAATTTGTTGTTGATTTTGATTTTGATCTTGAAATATTCGTCAAATTATAAACAATCTATCGAATCTAGAATAGAATAGAACATTTTAGAAATCTACACGTGCTTTTTGATTCGACTGAATTCTCTGGTACCTAGCGCTCTATTGCCTTAGATAGAGTCAGCATATTTATCTTTAATAGTTATGAGTTATGTATTATTATGGCGTCTCTGAAAGCTAACAAAATCAACCTATGTCATTTCGAATTGAAAGATTTGGAAAGCCAAGAATTAAAGAAATGTGATTAGAAATATTGTCTTCTGTAGAAGACTTGGCGTAGAGGGCACGGAAACGTTTATCTTCTATAGACGACCGTGGCGCTGAAAAGGTATACCTAAATATAAGACACTTTTCAGGAACTGTTTTTACGTCTAAAGGTCTAACCTGCGGGATATTTGACAACTAACATTAAAGCCCAAACTCTGTTCTTGTAACCATCAACTGTTTTTGTAATTAACATACCTTTTACAGTAACCCATCCAACGCCAGTATTCTTCGCCTTGCTGATGGCCACATCCATGGCGAAGTGGCTGGCAGTGGCTCCCAGCACATTATTGGCGTCGATCCACGCGGTCGAAGGGCTCTCCTTCAGGATCTTCGGCTCGTTGTTCGGCTGGCAAGCACCGCTTACTATGTCGTTGACGTACATTTCTGAAATCAAATGATAGGACTTACAAGACTTACTGCTGCTAGCACTCTCTTCGAGGATATTTCTGCTTGCAAATGGTGGTGTTAGTTTCAACTTACTTGTACATGATTATCTGCTATTTGGTCTTTTTTTTAAGTATAGGGTAAAAACGTGAATGACAAGTAAAAACTATTGTGGAAAGGGTTGTAGTTTTGAATCCCGCAAGGGACACATGTAATGTCACGCTTTAATAAAGTAAAAAAAGTTATTTTATATGGTTATGTTTAAAAGTAATATGATTCCGTTATCAAGTACTGGTACAGGTCCTGCTAAGTTTAGTTAATAATTGGTATGATATAGTTGGAATAATTTAACTAGTTTTTCAATTGAAACTGCTTTCTAATTTCTAAACTAGTTTTCCTTGTATTATATTTTTAGTACTACCAATTTTCCCTTAAATAGACGCTGGCTCTCTCTACGCACTATTTGCGGAGAACTAATCGCCGGGCATTGACTCTACTGAAAGCAGTCTTTCAAGTTTAAATTATTTATTTTGCCCACCAAATGTAGATACAAAGTGTTATCGACTCTCTTTATAGGCACTTTCCACGGTCGTTATTTGGAATCACTAGGACAGATGGCTATCTAATCACTTATAGGTATGTCTGCTTTGAACATACTAATCATACATTGACGTGGCAAATGATCCTGCTGTAAAACAATGAACAGACTTTTAAACGATCATTAAAAAACTCATTAAAATTCATCGTAAGTGTTAGATCTTAAACAATTCCTGAGATGACTCGCTAATAAGGAAGTCGTAGATTCACACTTCGTTTGTAGTTTATAGCGGTTACACTTAGCAGGAAGATGCTATACTTATACTTATAAGGAATGAAAAATAATAGAGCAGTTAGTATTACAAAAATGCAAAAGTTATGAAATTCACGCCGCGTGCAGAATTTTTCATTTTATAAGTATTAGAGCAACACCCAGTAGATCATGATCTGAAATTTGTTCTAGAATGAACCAGATTAGTGCCATGTTATCCTGTCTTAATCTTTCCACTTAATCAATTCAATTTGTCTTATAAGAATCACCAAAAGCATCCTTATTATGAGTAGGTATTGGTTGAATTGATCACCACAAGATAGGGAGAAAAGTCGCAAGAAATAAAGACAGTTCGATTAAGCGTTACCTAGGTCATCTAAGATCTAAGGCTGAGTTGCACCACCTTATTTTAACCGTAACAATAACAATTACCGGTGCTTTTTGTATGGAGTTTGACACATTTTTGACGTTTGTGAAAGTTAAAGTAAGATGGTGCAACTCAGCCTAAGAATACAAAGAAAAATCGTCTCAAACTAACCAAGTCTATTCAGACCATGGCTGGGATGCCCCAGCCTATCAGCCTGTATGAGCAGCTCGGCTTGCTGCTCAGCTGCCTTCGCCGCTGCCCCTGCTGCCTTCAGGCAGTCCGTCATGAAGCGGAACGCGTCTGCTGTCGCTACCTTGCCCATTTTGATAAACTGCAATAAAGAAAACCAGTGCAATTTGAAAAATATTTCATTTCTAGTTACATTTAAGGCACATTTTTCACTACTTCTATTCATTGCTACGTACGTAGTGAAGGTTTTGTATGAGGCACGGACTGGTTAACAACCATGTCCAATATACAGGGTGTCCAAAAATGTTTACAAAGAAAGTCCAGATACCATTATTTTCTTCGTGTTGCCTTTTCATATGACATATTATTTGACACTTGTGTAGTCAATAAACATATTGTAGGTTATTCAGTTTTTTTAAATTGCATAGCTACTTGATACCATGTGACACCATACCAGTGTACGACGAACCAATAAAGATTTGTGACAACGATGTGTTATTTTTATTTCATGCAGAATAGTCAGGAAATTAATTACACAAAAAAACGGTAAGTTAGGTAACAATAAGCTATTTGTACAGCTGTGTACTAATACCTAGATACTAACAAACTGCAGTGGCACTAATTATAAAATAATATTAAATAGGCAGCATTAAGTTTTCTGTCCTTTTAAATTGACAGTTAAAGCAGTCATCTATCTACTGCGAAGCTATCTTTAAAAACTCACCATTTTTTCACCAGGCCTTGGAAACTATAAGTAATATCAAAATTATAGTTAGACTTTCAAATCCTATCAGAAATCAGAATCATACGTGTACCGAACCCAAGTTATAGTATACCTACTTAGGTACGCCCGTATTCACAAACATTACTGAGGTCTCACAGTGCGCGTGGACGCACAGGGTGACACACGAACCAATCACAGCCACAGAGTTCTATTCAACGCTGTGCGTTCGATTTATCGTTTGTGAATATGGGCGAAAATATTGTAAGTAGAAAACAGCACGTTAAACTTAGCACTGTAGGATTTTATGTAGTTGTAATTGGGACTATTTTGTAACAAAAACTTATAGTCTGATGTGCTGCCGTCTACGCCATGGTTAACCTTGAGGGCCGCCGTTTAAACCATTATAAAGTTTGCTATTTTTATTTGAGACGATACCGCGCTTCGCTGTACCGAATACCTACACGTCCTTCGTCAAAATAAACTATCAGACATCGTTCTGTGTGCTTACCATGAGTTTACATTACGTGCGCTTGCTAGGGACTGTGTAAAAAAATGACAAAAAATGTATGACAGATTGTACAGCGCCACTAGGGGCTACTTTCAAGAACTTCATAGATGTCTTCATAGATGTTTTTGAGTATAGTATAGTCTGATTTGCTGCCGTCTACGCCATGGTTAACCTTGAGGGCCGCCGTTTAAACCATTATAAAGTTTGCTTGTTTTTGACGTAGGTACTCGCTAGCGAGAACACCTAACGTAAACTCATGAGTTTACGTCTGATAAAATGACAAAGGTTTGGTTAAAAACAAAAAACAATTGAGTGACTTCATACCTAAACCCAAAAACACATTTAAAGTGACGCATCAATTAAAACTGAGTTTAAAATTGCACGTCTGTTGATGATTGTTGATATAGTTAATTAGCTCTTCATATAAATTAGTGAGATAGAAGTATTATTGCAACAATAAAAAAAAAAAAAAAAACTAGTACAGTTTGGTGTGCTATCCTTGTACTTATTACGATAATAAAACTTGTTGGTCTACGTTAGTGTTTAACTAGCGACCTGCCCCGGCTTCGCACGGGTAGGTACCTACTATAAACCGTCCCCTTGAATCACTCTATCTTTAAAAAAACCGCATCAAAATCCTTTGCGTAGTTTTAAAGATCTTTCTAAGCATACGTAGGGACAGAGAGCGGAAAGCGAAAAGTTTTATACTAACTATGTAGTAATAATCACAGAATTTTTCCCCTTAATGTGGTACCTACTTAATTATGTAGTCATCCTGTGTTTCAGGTAGGTATGTAAGTATTTGTAATATGTATTTTGGGTAGGAATGCCTACCTTTCCCTACTTATGTACTTTGAATGGATGACAGCACATGCACACTGTAGCATCTTATGGAGTTGTAACAAGTTCTATTTTCCTGTAACAAGTTCTATTTTCCAAAAAAATATAGTCTGATGATAAGATGATGTCAAAAATCCCTACTTAAATGATGTCATAAATGCTTTTAGATCATAATTTACTGCAATAACTGTTATGGACATGTTTGTTATAAGCTATTGGTAGAAAATGTTTCGCGCATTAAGTGCGGCTTTTGTTCCTACATTGAAAAAAGTAGAATGTTTACAGTTCAATAAAGTATGAACACATAGCTACATGCCTACGAATGAATGTGGATTACGAAAATATGTAAATAACCAGACCGATTTACATATTTATATGTAAATAACGACCGGTATTTACCTACATAATTTAAGTAAGCAAAAAATATGTACCTAGGTACAATCGCCCGCCAGCACATCAGACTTTAATATTTTATCGTAAAATAGAACGTATTCCTATCACATAAGATGTCACAATGTTTTGTAGATTGCATTTTACTATTTGTTCTACCAGTACTTTAACCTTGACATTGGGAAATGTCCTGCCAAACGTATTTTCATCTTTGTTTGCCAAGCTTTTGCCCACACATATGGAAATGTTATCAATGTTATTAAAAAACTTTGTTTACTACATTTTGGACTTATCAGATATAAATAATATCATTATGAATTCATTTGATATCTAATATTTGGTTAATATTGAAATTGTCCCATAAGAACTAACAAATACAATGTAAACCAAAACAAACATTTGTACAGTAAACATTCATTTTTGTTGAAAAATAGCACTTATAGCAACCACAAAAGTACCATTTAAAGTTAAACTTAATGTGCTGTGAAGTCTGTACCTAGATGTTTTAGTTTGCAGACATAATGACGCGTTTTTTTGTTTTCTAAAACCGACTTTATTTCTTTTTTACTTTTAATAACTGTTCCTGGCAGGTTATAAAAAAAACTTACCACTATTTAATTGGCTGAAACAGCAGTAATTTTCTTAATAACAATTACTGTAATTTGTGTAATATACTCGTAGGTACGTGATCACGGCACGCGCGGCCTCGGCTGCGAACTACGGCTTACTGACAGTTCTGTATGATAAAATTCAAGGCAAAAGAGCTATGACTCTAGTTTCTGTAACTTGTTTGTATAAATACGAATTTTGACCGATAACGGATAATGTAAGGTTAGCCTAGCAACTGTTAGGTAAATAGTTTTAATTGAGTTTTTAATAGCAGCTGCAGATAAGTAAATAAATGAGCGATATTGCTCGAGCCGGTCTATGAAAGATAAATGCGGTTGATTTTAGTGTTTTTAGCTTATGACTATGACTTGTAAGGATTAGTACGCTCCATAGTTTACTAATGTGAATTAAGATCCATGGAGAATCTTTATCTTATTCTGGGTGTATTTTTAACTGTCTATTTTAAACGGTCTCTCCCTTCAAGGGTTGCTTGGAAGAGATAACATCCTAGGGATAGGATCGCCTAAAGTGTGCCATTCCAATTTTATTATATTCCTTCTGATTATCTGTTCCCTACAACTAGGTTTAGTGTCAAAGGTCAAACTGTCAGTCTATCATCATCATCAAAATAATTTCAGCCATAGGACGTCCACTGCTGAACATAGGCCTCCCCCAATGATTTCCACAATGGCCGGTTGGTGGCGGCCTGCATCCAGCGCCTTCCCGCTACCTTTATGAGGTCGTCGGTCCACCTTGTGGGTGGACAAATCTATCAATCAGTTGTTTTAAGAGAAAAAGGTTAATATTTATTGCATCACGAATTTAACCGACTATCAAACATTTGCGAAAGACGAATTTAAGGCGTAAGTCACACACGTACAGTACCTACTGTCTCCTAATATTGTGTCTGCTGGACTGCAGTGATTCAATCAAGAAGTGCACTCATTCAGTTTCCTGCAAATGCACCAGGAGTCTAATTATTCAATTCAACAACTATTACGAACGCTTTCATTAACACAATTTGTGCACATCCATCAGCGGCTCACAAAGGCAGTCGTTCCATCGCGTAGTATTGGTGCAGCAATGGATGCTAACAATCTGTCAAAAATAAAACGATTGCGATGGATGCTGAATTACATAATGAAGAAGGTCGTCCCCATTCCCATTGAGTTAGCGGTCGATACTTTAGTGCGCATGTCTGAAAATGGCGGACTGGTGGCGCGAAGACGCAGTAGCGCGGTGAAATATGCTAACGGTATGATTCAGGTTCGATTCCTGGTCAGATCATAAAAAGATATTTGGAATTGTATCGTATTGGGGTGTGATTAGCGCTCCGATTAAATTCTGCTACTTCGTGTCCCAATATTTCAGTTCCTTTTCGAAATTATGCATGGTCATCTCATACTACTAACACTAAGGCTGGGTTGCACCATCTTTAACTTTGACAAAAGTTAAAAATTTGTCAAACTCCATATAAAAATCGTTACAGTCACGGTTATAGTTAGGTGGTGCAACTCAGTTTGATACAATAAAATTGGTGATTGTCTGTAATTTAATCACAATAAAAGCCTAGCCATTTTCTAAGAAAATCTTTTCATCCGTAATTCAGCTGTATTTTGATTGTTCGGAGAATAATCAGAAACCAAACAAAGAGCAAAATTTGTAAATACTTAGTAAATGATAAGCATTAATAACCACACTTATCTTAAATTAATCAGTTGTGTTGTAACACATCTGCCAGGCACATGTGATTGATGTAATAATAAAGTTATACTTCTTGTGGACTTGTGGGAAAAAGGTACTTATTTAATTTTAAATAGCTTTTTATGCAACGTATGTAACGTAGTTTATGCCAATAACCTTTTGTCTTCTTTAGCTGAGTTGCACCACTAAACTTTAACGGTAAACTATAACGATAACCGGTGTTTTTGTATTTTTGACGTTTGTGAAAGTTAAAGTAAGTAGTTGTAAAGCACAAAATATTGTTTAATCCCAATCTGGAGAAAACACAAAAACAGTCTCTACTTTAATAAATTTTGGAAAAAAGTCATTCAGTGTCGGACTGCCGATTCGAGGATATACACGTACAATGGTTTTTGCATTATTATTTTATTTTCACCTTTATTTTTGCATTTAACAAATGTGTCGTTTTTGTAAGTTTTTCTTGTGAATGCTACAATCTACAATGTAACCTTGTTGGTAATCAAATAAAAAAAAAATACTCATGAAAAATCTTAAGAAAGTTATTAATAATTTATTAGAAACTGCTCTTACTTTCGCCTAGCCTTCAAAGTCAGTGGTTGAAATCGTATACGTCCTATAATATGAAGGAATTCAAAGGGTGTTTGTTTATCACTTGACTCTAAAGAGATATAAATATATACACTTCATTACTATTCTTATCAAAAACTAAACATATCGTGATAACTGATAATATTTTATTTTTGAAGACTACAAAGTGTATCAAGCGAGCAAGTGCATTGTTTGTTTTCATAGATTGACTCTATGTAGGGTTACAGAATAAATAAGTAGTTATAATAATCAGCAAGTAAGTAATTAATAAGTATAAGTAGAATGTCTTACTTATTTACTGTACTCTAATAGAAAGGCTAACTTAAGTAATTACCTAAGTTTAAGTCAACAAACGTTTTATTTTCTGCGATAAAAATGATAGTGAAATTTAAATGCAAGTATTTAAAATTGTCTTTTGGAGTCAAACTGGGTTTAAAATGTTCTTTTTGTGTTTTGTCAGCAGTATATTGATCTACTTTTCGCACACCCTGTATTTATCAAAGGTTTATCATTTCAAGTATAAAACTAGCACTTTCTCTAGGCCTGACACTTTGTCAAGATGCCCGAGGTTCGTGTGGACGAGGTACAGAGGTTCATGGAGGAAGCCCTGAGGGCCGCGGGCGCTCCGCCCTCGGAGGCGGAGGCCCACGCTGCCCTGCTGCTGCATGCTGACACTACAGGGCATTTTAGCCATGGCTTGAACAGACTAGGTGAGTTTATTAATGTTTTTTCTATCGTATGGGTTGCTTGCTGGTAGGGCAACTGAAGTTGGACCTGGATCCCTAGACATTTTTAAATTATGTGACCATTTTAACCTTTAACCGACGACGTGCGGTCTCACAGACCGCTCTGGTTTTTGAAATTTCTGGATTGCAATGTTCTACTTACTCCCGTGTCCCGAGCGTCTCAGTACCTTCGAGTTTAGTTGCCCATACACCATTACAGGTAGTGGTTACATCGATAACCGCAGTTTTGACAAGATAATTTGATTTAAAGTTCAACAGCGGTCTGTGGGACCGCACGTCGCAGACTACGTGACTTTTTTGTACCATACTAAAACTTGCGTTTTTGTTATAGACGACTCTTTTTTTGTAAAAATGATGGATCCTGGGCCACCACAATCTAGGAAAAGACATTTCCTAATGATATATTGATATTTGGACATAATATTTTGTAAAAGATGGTAGTCTGTAAAAAAAATCCGCGAAACGGGTGGTAAAGCAAACTGTGACATCTATTCTAGGCTCTGACATGCCAAATCAGCCTGATGTCATTGCACCAGCTGCAAAAAAGACGTACCTTTTAGTCCACCTAAATTTAAAACGAAATTATCTTACAGGTGTTACCTATGCATACCGAAAATGCTTGGCATGCGGTAAAAAAAAATGTCCTGATTGTGCCTAATGTTTACCCTACGTCAAAATTTTTGTGTGCATGTAATGTACGTGTCATTTATTTTTATTTCATAAATTATGTTCACTATATTTAGGAAGGAGTATAGTTTTTCTTGCTTTGATTAAAATTTACAAGTTATACAGGTATTATTGAGCTCTAGTGTAATTTCAATGAAATTAAGGGTCAAAAAAGTTTTAGCCATATTTAAATAAATAATATACATTGATTCCTCACAAATTATACGTATGTTTATTTGTAATACTATAATGTTCTCAAAAAATATAAAACCAATATACTTTTATACAAAAAATGATTACTTTTTGAGTAAACAGTAGGAGCGGTCCCACAGACCGCACGTCGCAGACGGCGTGACAAAAAAATCACGTCGTCGGTTAAAGGTTAATTTCGAAATCGCTTCGCTTTAGTGTTTTTTGTTGAAGTCACATAGCTCCGTGAAGCAATTTCGAATCTGAAACTGTCACGGGTGGTGGTTAGTCTAGGAACCCAAGTAGCAACAGATTATCTTCATAAGGCATTGAAGATATCTTGAAGACTAATAGCCTAATTCCAGCCGTTGTCTTGGCCAAGACAATAGTCGCACTCAAGAAATCTTGAAGTTATGCCCCAAGACAATGGTAAGCAAAAAAGGGCACAATCCTTTGGAGATCACTGAGACAGAGTTAAGACAACGCTTAAGGCAGACTTAAACCCTAATTAAGAGTGTAGTTTTAAGAATTTCTAAACAAGTACTATAATATATCTTATAGTATGACTGTAGACAAGGAAATAGAGTTGAAGATATCTTGAATACTTATTTAAGACTGATAATTATTTTTACAGCTAAGGTTTATTTAACTTCATGTAGAACTATGTAAGACACTTTTTATTAAAGAGGAACTTAATTTAGAAAACAATGTGATCTTTAACACTATATCAACTTTAGATAAAGGTTAATGAAAATGGCGATGAAATTATTTTAATAACTAATTTATTTATGTCTAGAAAAGACCTAAAATGACATTTTTGCATAAGAAATATAAAACGCAGTGTGGTTTCTCGTGTAAAATCAATGGATAATGTTATAAAACAAGAGGGCCTTGAAAAAAACCTAATAAGATCAATAAAATATTACGAAATTGTATTGTATAAAGAAAACTTTGAGGTTATAAAATAATATTTTATTTTATGCAAACGTTCTTAGACATTTATACAACTAGAAAAAGTGTAACAAAGACGTACTTTAATTTAAATGTCGTCTTGTTATGATATTATTGGTTAATTTCTGATTTATTTTTTGTTACACATAGCTCATAATGGCGGTAATTCTAATTTGTCTAAATGTAGCAAGAATACAGAAGATTTTGAATTTGTAAGTTTAGTAAAGAAAGAGTTGAGTCAAGTTGTACTTTACATAGTATTAGTTTAGAAAAATTAGATTTAACTTAC